GTAGAACTGAAAATTTACAGGTCCCAACAAGTATCTCTGAAAACAGCTACACAAACCCCAGAAGCTTGGGACAGTACACTCTCCACATTGGAAGCAGACTCTTACCTTAACAAAGACTTTAAAACTCAAGTAAATGGCCAGAATCAAGAGCAAGCAGCGAAAAAAGAGTCAGACTATATTATCTTACTTTGGTGAAAAAGAAGATCAAAATATACAACCAGAAGAAGACAACAAAATCAAAGCTCCTACATGTACCAAAGCCTTCAAGAAAAATATGAATCAGTCCCAGGCCTCGGAAGAGCTCAAAAGGGATTCTGAGAAGCAAGTAAGGGAAGTACAAGAAAAACTGGGAAGAGAAATGAGAGTGATGCAAGAAAATCATGAAAAACAAGTCAACAGCTTGCTAAAGGAGATCCCAAAAAATACTGAAGAAAATAACACCTTAAAAAACCTAACCCAAATGGCAAAAGAGGTCCAAAAAGCCAATGAGGAAAAAATGCCCTAAAAAGAAAAATTGGCCAAATGGAAAAGGAAGTCCAAAAGATTACTGAAGAAAATACTTCCTTAAAAATTAGAACACAGCAATTGGAAGACAGTGACTTTATGAGAAATCAAGACACTGTAAAACAAATCCAAAAGCATGAAAAAACAGAAGACAGAATGAAATATCTCATTGGAAAAACAACTGACCTGGAAAATAGATCCAGGAGAGAGAATTTAAAATTTATTGGACTACTGAAAGCCATGATCAAAAAAAAGCCTAGACATCATCTTTCAAGAAATTATCAAGGAAAACTGCCCTGATATTAGAACCAGAGGGCAAAATAGAAATTGAAAGAATCCACAGATCTCCTCCTGAAAGAGATCCCCAAAGGAAAACTCCTAGGAATATTGTAGCCAAATTCCAGAGTTCCCAGGTCAAGGAGAAAATATTACAAGCTGCCAGAAGGAAACAATTCAAGTACTGTGGAAACACAATCAGGATAACACAAGATTTAGCAGCTTCTACATTAAAGGACCGCAGGGCATGGAATATAATATTCCGGAGGGCAAAGGAGATAGGATTACAACCAAGAATCACCTACCCAGCAAAAGTGAGTATAATCCTTCAGGGGAAAAAATGGTCATTCAGTGAAATAGAGGACTTTCAAGCATTCCTGATGAAAAGACCAGAGCTGAATAGAAAATTTGACTTTCAAATACAGGACTCCAGTGGAACATGAAGAGGTAAACAGGAAAGAGAAATCATAAGAGACTTATTAAGATTGAACTGTTTACATTCCTGCATGGAAAGATGATATTTGTAACTCATGAGAACTTTGTCAGTATTAGGGTAGTTGAAGGAAAAAAATTATATGTAGATAGATAGATAGATAGATAGATAGATAGATAGATAGATAGATAGATAGAGGCACAAGGTGAGTTGAAGATTAAGGGGTCATATCTGGAGAATAAAATTAAGGGATGAGAGAGGATGATACTCGGAGAAGAAAGGGAGAGGAAATGGGGTAAATTATCTCACAAAAAAAAACAGAAAAGAAAAGTCTCTCACAGTGGAGGGGAAACAGGGGAAGGTGAGAGGGAATGAGGAATCTTATTCTCATAGGATTTGGCTTAAGGAGAGAATAACATACACATTCAATTGGGTATGGAAATCTGTCTTACCCTACAGGAAAATAGGGGAGAAGGGGACAAGAGAGCAGGGGGATAGAGAGGAGGGCAGATTGGGAAAGAGGGTAATCAGAAGCAAATACTTCTGAGGAGGACAGGGTCAAAAGAAAGAATAGAATAAATGGGAGGGCAGGATAGGATTAAGGGAAATAGAGTTAGTTTTTCACAACATGTCTACTAAGGAAGTGTTTTGCATAACTGCACATGTACAACCTATATTGAGTTGCTTGCCTTTTCAATGAGGGTGGGAGGGAGGAAGGGAGAAAATTTGGAACTCAAAGTTTTAAAAACTGTTTTAAAAAAATGTTTTCACATGCAACTGGGAAATAAGAAATACAGGAAATGGGGTACAGAAGTCTATCCTGCTCTACAGGAAAATAGAAGGGGAAGGAGATAAGAGAAGGGAGGGGGGAGAGATAGAAGAGAAGGCAGACCAGGGGAAGGGGTATTCAGAATGCATGCCATCTTGGAGTGGGGGGAGGGGGGAGAAATTTGGAACTCAAAAACTTGTGGAAGTGAATATTGAAAACTAAAAATAAATAAATTTATATTTAAAAAAAACCTACATTCTTTTTATTGGTTCTTGTCAATTTCACCTAGCACTTCTACTTATCTTTTTTTCTTGAGGTTAATGTTCCTTGAGGTTGAGTTCCTCCTCCTTTTCATAAATAAATGCTATATTCTATATCTTTCACTATATTTGTTTTTTTTTAAAGTACTCTTTTGGGTAAAATGCAAGAAACTCATTGGCAATACTGTGATTTTTTTTTAGTTCAGAAATACTGAAATAAAATTTATCTTCATATCAGACAGAAACCCAAACAGATCTCTTTGGGATCTGGATTTCTGCCAGAAACAAAGACAGATCTTATTTCAGTATTTTCTCCCTGCAAAATCCATCATTGTCACCATTGAATCTTTATATTTTGAGGTATTCTGTGGCTCAGGAACTGTATTCAAAAGGACCAAGTCCAATTCTGAGTAAAATCCTTCCCAACTTGCTCTTATTGGCTTCTTATGACCCCATTCATTAATAGCTCAGATTTCAGAATACATCTGGTATCTATGTCTCTAGAGATGAGAGTATCAGGGTCCTCATCTCCGTAAAAATACTGAAAGTAACAAAAACATGTATCAATTTTAGGAGAATCAGTATATACCAAATGTGTGTGCATACACAAATATATGTATGTATGTATATATACATATATATGTATGAATGTATGCATATAAATTTTTAAATGTCAAAGACTTACAAGCAAAAGTCCATAAATAAATTCAGATATCAAGTAAATAACTCACACTGATCCATAACACCAATAATTCAGTTCTTCTCCCTCTCTGGCAAACCTTTAATTTTCTCCAGGCCTAAAGTCCCACAAACTAAAAGCACCATCCTATTGTTTGGAATCCTCTTAGATGCGAAATCAAACTTAGGATTACTAATAGGGAAAACTCCCTGAAATTCTGAGCTCAGTCCTACTTTTCACAGGGAGACATGCAGGCCCTCAGAATGATAATACCACCCTTTGGTTTCGTCTCTCCTCAAAGGGGAGACTTCTCTGACATTCAATACACAGACATCCAGCCTTATGGTACTACTCTGAGAGTCTGAATTCTCCAAAACTAGAAACACATTTGTGGATGCTAAGCAGCTTACTATCTTTCATCAACATTTCCCAAACAACTCATGATAACAGTGGAGGACAAGGACCATTTCCCTTGTTTCCCATTTCATTGCTCAGGTCCCTTGTCTGCTCCTTCTGGTGCTGGAACCACACCACTTCCTCTCGTCTCCTCCCATCCCCTCCCCTTCCCTCCCCTCCCCTCCCCTCCCCTCCCCTTCCCTCTCCTCTCCTCTCCTTCCTTCCTTCCTTCCTTTCCTTTGCTGGGCAATGGGGTTAAGTGAGGGTTGTGGGGGCAATGGGGTTAAGCTTAGGGTCACCCAGCTAGTAAGTGTCAAGTGTCTGATCTGAGACCAGATTTGTACTTAGGTCCTCCCGACCCCAAGGCCAGTGCTCTATCCACTGAACCACCCAACCACTTCATTTTACAGAAAAGTTAACTGAGGTCCAGAGAGGCAAAATTCATCCTAATTCTCAAACAGCAAATTCATATCCCTTGTCTACAAAATGTGTTTTAAATACATGCTCCTATTCTATCTATTTGATGAAATGCTTTCATAATGTCTATATTTTCAGGGCTATGCTATGTGGCAGTGAAGGATGATTTTTTACTGCTAAAAACAAAGTAACATACAGGGTAAAATAACAGCCATGGGAAAGTCAGAAATTAAGTTTTGGAAAAAATTAAACATTTTGGAAAATTAAAGAGAGAAATTTTTGGTTTTTTTTCCTTAGGATCAAAACTGAAAACCATTTATTGAGTGGTATGTAAAGACAAAGTCAGAGTTAGAGGTATACATTGTTTTGCTCTATTTTGACAATACTGAAGTATAAAATATTAGATATCAAAGTATGAGTATTGGAAAGCTTTTCTACAAGATGAAGACTGCTTTTAAATATAAAGGGAAGAAAAAAATCCTTTCAACTCAGAGAATTTACATTGCTTCATTATCTTGGATTCCGTGGATTTTTACACATCTTCTAAAAAGTTTTAATAATAGAATCACTTCTTTCTGAATGAAAGGTACTATTAAATTTTGGTCCTAAACACTTGATTGCATCTTGAACCTTAAAACTAATCCAGTTAAATAAAGTTAAATGCAAAATCTCACTTCTGCAATAATCCCCCACCACTGCTATGCCAACCCCAAGACTAGTTAACCCTAATACAGTGGCCAAATTTATGCAAAATTACAGATTTTAAACTGGGTTATGACACCTCACCCTGGGATCACTATTATATAAATGGTATTGAGGCAGTATATTCAAGGAAATGATTCAGAGACAAAATCAAACATAAGTGAGCAATCAATAAGTACTATAAATGCTAAATAAAATAGGAATAAAATAGATGTTTTTAAACCAATTTAATTTTTGTAGAACATGAGAGTAATAACTTTTGAAGCACTGGACTTCTAGCCACTTAGATTAAATACTTGGGCATCTTTAAAAACTTAAACAAATTATGTAGAGTATATGGCAAATGAAATAAATTTTCTGAACACAGAGGATTTAAAGATTAAAGTGGTCAAGTGCCACTTCAAGTTTAATCCATTTTTCCAACAAATGATCTTCCTAAAATGTTGCATATCTGGTTCAATATAGAACACATCACTAACTTAAAGAACTAAGTAACCATTTTCAGTTCATTTTTTTTTATCTGTATAGAAGCAAACATTGAACACAGAACAACAACCACCTTACCTGACATGCATTATAAAGCAGCTGGTGTTCCAATTTTTTTATACCCAGGATTTGCTGAAACATTTCATAAAGTTGTTCCTTGCTCAATATAAGTTCTGACACAGCACTGAGTGCCATTCGATTTGGCTGTTTGCACAGGTCCTCTTCACCTTTATAGATAGCATCATATTTGGCTATCCATGAACTCAGCACTGTCTCTTTGCTCAAACCATCAATTTCTGGCAAACTCCGTACCCTCTTCTCAATGTTTTTCTTGAATACATCTCTGAAGTCATTAGCAGAACACCCTCCACTGTGAACCATTCTGGCTACCCGATCACTCTTAAGGAAAACCTAAGAGAAAAGATAGAAAAAGGCACATAAAATTAAATGTGCATGCTAGTGCCACTGTTAAACAATAACAGAAAGAATTCAAAGAAGAGTCTGGCATATCATAAAAGTGTTTTATGATGATTACAGTTTGCTTGAAGATTTATTCAATGCATTTTCAGTTCAATTCAAAACAATGGACACTAAGAAACTATTTCGGGCAAAACTGCATGCAAAGACCCCACAAATTCATTTCATGAACAATTAGAAACATTTTCGTCCAAATTGTCAAAATCGTAGATAACAACTATGGGAATTTCTTTTTTTATTATTTTATTTTGATTTATCAATAGGAATCTTCTCTTCTGCATGTATATCCCTGAGCAAATGGAGTTTAAGGAAAAGGATAAGAAGCGCTATCAAGTGAATCCTAGCTCCAACTCTGGCACAATCAGAAACTTTCTCATGTAGGGACTTTCTTGTTGCTAGAATAATCACCTAAAAGATATAGAGGCAAATAGTAGAATATCCACATCTATATTCCCAAAATCAGCACAAGTATCAATAGTATGGGATCAGGAATCAAGATTTCTTCATAGATTAAGGGAGCTAACATGCATCTAGGATATACTTTTCATTTAGTCCTTTCAGTCATGTCCAATACTGCATGACTCATTAGGGTTTTTCTTGGCAAAGACACCAAAGTGGTTTGCCATTTCCTTCTCCCACTCATTTTACAGATGAGGAAACTGAGCCAAATAGCATGAAGTGACTTTCCCAGGTCACACAGCTAGTAAATAAGTGCCTGAGGTCAGATTTGAACTCAGGAAGATGAGTCTACCTGCCTTCAGATTCAGCACTCTAACCATTGCACCACCTAGCTGCCCCCAGGATATATTTACCTTCCAAAAATCTTAGGGAATATATGTTTTTATAAAGGCTAAGTACCTCTAGGTTCACTCTTGCTACAAGAAGTTGCCCGTAAACTACCCAGAAATAATCCAAAACAAATAATGACAGATACCATAGTGAAGCGTTCGTCCTCAGAAGCAGGAAGTAAAATACCAAGATAATCAAGTCAAGTCATGGATCACAAGACATTCGAGAATTCTTCAATTCAGTTCAAATCAATTCAACTCAGATGTTTCCTAGTTATCTATGTTCAAAGCACAGGAAGTCAGTACACATTTATCAAGCATCCTTTCTGCATTAAATAAACACTTCTCCCAACACAAAGATTATACAATGTAATGTTTATTCTCTCAACTCAAAAACTAATTTTAAATACATATATGTTAAACACACATACAATATCTACCATATGCAAGGTATTATTAACATGAAGATCAGAAAAAGTCTTTGCTCTAAAGAAATGCACAATAGATATGGGGGGGAGGGCTAATACATTTATCCAAATAAGATAAAAACTGGAAAGTAATAAGTAGGAAGGAGAGATATAAACAAAATACAATGAGAACTCTGATCAGAAAGGTGTCACTTTCAGGTGGGAGGCTCAGGCTTTGTGAAGGAGGTGGCACCTGAACTGGACGTTGAAGAACCAAATGATTTCAAACATGTGGACAAACAGAAACATTCCAGGCATAAGGATTGAGAGACACTAGAATGAAAGTAACGGATGCCTTAAAAGTGATTTGTTTGGAACATAGCATGCGTAAAAAGGTTATCTCTTGTTTCAGTCGTATCTCACTTTTTGTAACCCCATTTGGGGTTTTCTTGGCAAAGATAATGGAGTGGTTTTCCATTTCCTTCTCCAGCTCATTTTACAGATGAGGAAACTGAGGCAAACAAGGTTAAGTGACTTGTCCAGAGTCACACAGCTAGTGTCTGAGGCCACATTTGAATTCAGGAAGATGAGTCTTTCTGACTTCAGGACCACTACTCTATCCACTGTGCCATCTATCTGACCTGTAAAAGGATATAATATCAAACACTGCTAGAAAGGTAGGTTAAAAACAGATTGTGAAAGATCTTTAAAGTCAGAAACATAAGTTTGTATTTTATTCTGTAAGTTGCAGGGATCCCCTGGAGGTTTCTAAACAGGTTAGTGCCTTGGTCAGATCTCTGAATTAGAAAGTTTACATAGCAGTGTAAGGTTGAAGCCTATTTCTGATGATGACTTATACCAAAGATATGAAGCCAGGGATATCATTCAGGAAATGCATGATTGGAAAAGTAGGTGGGTATAATCAGGAAGCAAGAGTAAGGATTAACAGATGGATGACCTGACTGTTATCCTGATAAAACCAAAATATAAAAAGACCTTAAACAATTTATCCAACATATTGGATTGATCATTTGTAGAGGACCTATGGAAGATGACAGGCAAAAGTTATGGTACGGACAGTAGTGAGCTCCATCCACAGAGAGAATATTCAAATTGATGACATTACAGATAGTTTTTAAGGTATATTGCATATGTAATAAAATATGGCAAAGTAAGGAATTCTCAACCTCTTTCTCAGACTCCACACCACCCTGAATCAATAAGTAAAGTCATATGTTAACTTTGCAAGATGAAAAATATTCCCACACAAGAGACCTTCTGAAGTGACAGATAGAGGCTGAGTGACAGACTAACTGTCCTGGTCTGCATCCTATGTGACTTACTGTCTAGGCCACTATTTGGGACTCTGTCTGAAGTAGATTCTACTGACATTTCCTTAGCAGTGACCCAAACTGAACCCTCACATCCACTCCTTTAAAGCAGGCAGAGGGAGAGATTACAGCACTCATGCAGTCCAGTGAGCATGGACAGTGAACAACTATGGGGAAGGCCCAAGAGGAAGGGGAAGAAGCACCAATAGTACAGATACAATCTTCTCTACCAAGGGAAGGTGACAGAATATAAACCTAGCTACAGTCTTCCTGACCATCCCACCATACTTGTGAAGTTTTCCAAGGCAGGAAAGTAAAAAAGTGTCCCTTAACTCAACCCAAGGAGGGCTCTGGAATCATCCAACTTAGGTTGTCTATACCAAAGGCAGAGGTTGGAGGTGGGGGAAGATGACGCAGGCCAAAAACAGCTAACTCTGAAACAATGAGAATAGAAGAGGAAGGAAAGATGGCAAGAAGACTGAGAGAGAAAGCTTGGGAATGAGACAATAGACTCATATAAAACGGAACATGAGTAGAAAGCCAGCAAAGTCACAAGACGATGAAGAAATAGTATCCTGGAATGGGAAATAGACTTTCCAATCAAAACACAAATTCTGTGGATACATTTGTGGGGGGTGGAGAGAAGGAAACTATTATAAAGATAGTTTGGCACTGGCTGAAAGAGAAATAAAAATATTCAAAGGAAGCAAGGATGAAAATAAGATGGATTTGGGGTGAAAGCTGAGGCTACCAAAGAAGAAGTCAACAAGGCAAATGAGAAAGTAAGCGTTTAAAACACATAATGGAGAAACTCTCCCAGGCAATAGAAGCTCTGGGGGAAAAAAGAGGCTGATGTGAAACTCAAAAATACAGATGTAGAAGAAAATTTATCAAAAATGAGTAAAACAGCAAGAGCACTGTTAGATTTATACAAGTCAGATTAAACAATTTTGAGGATAAGAAGTGAAGGGCTAATTTAAAGGTAGTAAGTCTACCAGAACATATACACACACACACACACACACACACACACACACACAGAGAAATAAAAGGCTATATATCACAATGCAGGAAATAACACTCACAAGAAAATTACTCAGACCTCAAACTACATTGCAAAACAATATGATAAAGACTTTAGTTACATTTTTTAAAATGGAAAAAATAAATCAGAATAAATCAAGTAAGTATTAACAGAAATAAATTAAATACAGCAGTTTAGTGGTTAAAAGACACAAGAAAACAAACTACTATGTAAAATACTTTTGAACAAAAGGTGTAGGAAAACTAGAAAACAGTTTGGTAGGAATTAGGTTTAAATCAGAATTTTGTACCCTATACCAGCAAATTCTGAATGACCTGACATAAATATAAAAGCTACCATAACACAAAATTTAGAGGAGGATTTTGAAGCACCTTTCACAATTGTGAGTAATGGGAACATTAATATCCAGTTAAGGGCTAGAGATTTTTTAAAAATAGAACATTTTGATTATATGAAATTTTAAAAATTCATTGACAAACATAGCTTGAAAATAAATGAAATTTGTCAAATATGAAAAAAAAATACTTCGCATTAAATATAGGTAGAATCTTTGCCTAGATAGATGGCACAACAGATAGAGTACTGGGGCCTGAAGTCAGTAAGACTTGAGTTCAAATCTGGCCTCAGACACTTACTAGTTGTCTGACCTTGGGCAAGTAACAACTGTTTGTCTCAGTTTCTGCATCTGTAAAAAATGAGTTGCAGAAGAAAATGGAAAACTACTTTAATATCTTTGCCAAGAATACCCCAAAGGGGGTCATGAAGAGTCGGATATGACTGAACAACAACAACAGCAGAATCTCTGCTAGAACTCTTATATCAAAATATATGGGGATTTGACACAAATATATGGAGAGGGCTTATCAATCCATTAGAATATATTTCTTCATCTGTAGAACACAGACATGTAGATTGTCACCTAGTTAAGAGCGTTAACGGACAGTTTCTTATTAGTTCCCTGTAAACAGAGCTACTCTCAATTTGACTGCCTGGCTGGAACCTTGGAGTAAAGTATTTTGGTTCAAGAACCCATCCTATATCACAAGAGAGAGCAGCAAAATGTCTTCAATCTTTTGGCATTTCATTCTCACTGGGGGCGAGGGGGGAAAGAGATTGTAGAAAACTGTATATGCTATTTCTATTTCCTGTTCCATCAAGAAACTGGTGATGGCTTCCTTGGATGGGGCATAAGCACATGGCAGTGGAACCAGTTTGTTCATGTTACTTTAGAAGGGAGTTCACAGACAATGCTCCCTATCTTCAACTTTCTACAGAAAAGGGGGGGGGTATCTAGATCTCCAGAATCCAACCTTCTAGTCAGAAAAGAAGATTTCCCAGGCAGCACCAGTCTTGGGAATTGCCT